GTTGGAAGGCCCTTTTGGGCTCATTGACCCACCGGTGTCATTAGAGAGAAGCTATTGGTCACCGGCCAAGTCTGTGTCTTGGTTGGCAGTTCTGGTTATTTATAGTAAAGAGCCCAACTCATTTATGTATTAAGGCAAATGCCAGCTCTCTTCACCGAAGTGCTTTTGGCCCCCCCCAACCCTTGTAAGTAGGCATGTTGATTCTTGCAAAGACACTGTTCAATTTAAATATTCATTTCAAAAGGTGTGTGTCGATTGTTTTATAACAAACTGCCAAAAAAGGGGGTCTATGTTTGTTTGCCTCCTTCAGGAATTTGCACCCATAGGTTGGCCTGCACTCCCCACCCCTTGGCTGCCGCCGTGAATTGTAATGAACGCCGGGGCAGCTTATATAATGGTAGGGCTCGCCCGTAGCCCTGCAGAGAAGGAGGAGAAGAAAGCGTTGCTGTTTGTCTGGAGCTCTGCAATCACAAAAAGCTGTATTTCTTGTTTGATTTCATAACTCGAGGTTCAGTCACCACTCCTAAGGGAGGTGTCGCTCTTAGTTGCTGCTTTCCCATTATAAGTTGCAACCTGCATTGTGGCATAGGCACTGTTTCAAAAAAGAGGTTTTTTTGCTGCTTTCTAGACTGTTTAGAGCTGCTTCTCTTTTTTTATTTTATTTTTAAGTCAGGTTGATGTTTTTTCCACACTATCACCATAGTTCTGTGTGTGTGAATAAAGCGGAATAAGATGAGGATGTATTTTTGAGCTGTAATTTTAAAAGCTATAGTGTTTGGTAGGGGTGGGGGGAGATTGGAAATATCAGAGAATTGTCTATGTGATGGTTTTGTTTGGAAGAATAAAAAAAAGGCCTTAGTAGCTTGAATACTGCAGTCTCCTTGAATAATGCAATCTTTTCTATCCCAAGCCATTTTGGATACAGTGTAGGAATAGCCATTACCTCTTTATTTATGTACATTGCTTTAAAAACTTTCTTTCTGCTGTGCAAGACCAGTACATTTGTTCCTCAGCTTTGTATCCATATTTACATAATGCAGGACACTACATCAGTTAAACACTTTACAAGCACAGGCCATCCAAGTCAGAACAGGTTACTGTTTTCTGTGTTGTGCCAAAACTGAATATCCCTAATTAGTCACTTTTATCCATAGGATAAAAAACTGTTATGTAGACTGATATATACAACTTTCTGTACATCACCTACTTGTATAAGAGTTTCTTACTTAAGAACTGTTAGTGATTCCAAACATTTTTTTCGTATTTAACAAAAAGATTGCCATGTGGTATGACTCTAGGCTGCAAGACAGCTCGTATATTCAGTACAATGAAGATGCTTGAACTTAGCTATGTGACATAAATATTCTTCCTTTTTGTGGATGTAATCTTTGAGGTGGAGGAGGTAAAGGGCGTGTTCTAAATTTTTTTTTCCCTTGCGTGGCGCTTTGCCTCACTTACAGCAGTTCTGAATAAATCTGAAATGAAGCCGGGCTTTTATGTATATTTGTTTGTCTTTGGCTCTTGCATCACACTTGTCTTTTGTTCTGCTTTTTAGACTCATTTGTCTAATGGAAAACTGACATCTGTGGAGTCCACAGTACTGAGCAAGTTATGTAGGCTGACGAGGTTCAGGACCAAGAGAATGTTAACTCAAGGACAAGCTTTAGTTCTTCTTTTTAATATACTTTGGAATTACATCACTGTACTATGTCTGCATGCATTACATTTATCTTGAAGATAATATGTTGTCTGGTAGAGCGTATTCCAAGAGTACAGGTATAGGCCTGGTGTAGGTCTGACTTCTGAACCTATCCTCTGATCTCTCTCCTTGGTCTTCTACTTTTGGCAGTATCTTAGTGATCCATGCCAAGTCAGGTTTCCTCAGTTCATCAAGTTCGTTACAGGCATTAGGGATGCTAATAGTTGCCAAACCTAGTAGTATGCATTTGTGAAGTTTTGGCAGGGACTCCTAGCTTATGGAGGATAAAGGAAAGAAAGCTCTGATACAATTTTATTGCCATCCCTTCTTATAGAGGAGGCTGCTTTTAAAGAATTAATCTGTGTGTTAGAAGGTTGAAAGGGGTTGGATTTATTGCTAAACACTGCTGCTTCTTAAAGCACAGTGCTCGTGAGTGCATGTGGTTAGCCAGGCCTATGAACCTCAAGCAGAACAAATGCACGGCTTTCTGCACTCACCCACGTACCTCCTGCAGGTCTCTAACCACTCTGGAAAGCTCATGGAGGCCTTTGAGAGCTACTTGGCTAACTACTAAACCCTACCAGGTGGTTTCAGAACCACGCTGGCCAGCTTAGCACAAAGAAGGAAACTGTAGAAACAGTCTATATTTCTATTCTCCCTTTCCCAGAGAATTAGGAATACATGTGCTGAAGTGTGGCTGGCTGGACAAACATGATGCCAAGCCAACTGCTTGTGACCTGTTTAATGACTTACAGTATTTTTTTAGAAAGAGCATACAGAGGCTCTAGGTGCTGACAGGGCACCATGACAGAGAGGGAAAGTTTGTAAAGTCTTATAGGTGACTGCTGTTTTCTGTCCTGACTTAATGGATTGTGTAGTTTTCAGTATCTCTGGTAATGGGGCAATAGAGTAGGCTTCAATGGAGGCTTTTAAATGTACTCTGAATTTTCTTGCAAATGGCTGTCTGCTGATCGCAAGAGATTGCAACAGTAATTGGCGTGAGTAACTCTCCGCATGGCTGAAAGCAAGTCAGTATTATGCACGGAGAGCTTTTATCTGTCTTGCTGCTTGGGAGTTTCTCCAAAATCTGAAAAGCTTAACTCATGATGGGGAAACAGGTAGCTTTACGGCATGGTCTACTTTCGTTGAAGCATGGTGCTCTGAGCTGTTGGCTGCTGTTTGTTAAACCTCTTCCACTGCCTGGTAGGAGCCGTCAGCGCTACCAATGCTGCGTTCCTACGCTGAAGTAGTAATGTTTTGAAATCAATAATGCATGACTTGGCTTCTAATAATGCAACACAAACAAACTATTAGTTAAACAGCTGGCTTCTGGCTCTAAATGTATAATCGGAGTTAATTGAATCCTTGCTATTTTATTTAATCGTTAGTAACTACCTAATAAACTCTGGAGGTGATTAGCAGCAACAGTAACTGCATTTGTCATCTCTTATGTCTGGGAAGATGAAGGTCTGTTTTCTAAACGTGAATCCAGGCTGGTATCAGGCCACCTACATAACAATAAACTTCAGGTCAGTGTGGGACAAGTAAATATTTCACCTATGCTAGACCTGCACACCGCTCTGTTGGTTGAGGCTTTCTGAGCACTCCAAACTGGGAGAGTTGGCACTAACAGGACATGTTCGGCATCGTGAACCCATCAGGTCTAGTACTCGGATGTTTTTCACAGCTGTTAGACTTCTGTTTTGAAGAGGTTGTAGTAGAGGTATGCAGCTTTGTGTCTGATAGATCATCCTGTTCACTAACGTGCATCAACCTAAAATAGCCATTTTTAAATCTTTGCTATAAAATGCTATTAAATTGAAGTATACATGTTTAAATATCTCCTTGAAGAGTACTAACTTAGAAATATTGATGAGTAATACTGATACATCTCAGAATCTAGACTATTTTGGCATTAGAGCTGAAATACAACATAGCTGAGCCTGACCTGGATGTGGCCGTGAAGACATATTTTGTGGTACCTAATAAATAAGGTGTGTTAGATCAGCTGCTATGGCTGCTGTCTTAAATGGGCCTGTATTTCCTCTTTTAAAAAAATACATTGTCTTTCACAAGTCCCCTACATAAGAAAAAGTTTTAAAGACAACGTTGTACGTATGAAGTGCTACAAGTGTACTTAACATTATGTCTTAATATTAAATTAAAAAGGCCATTTCTCTTTAACAGTAAACTGGGAAACAGTGTGGAGAGCCAACGCCAAAAAGAGATTTCAAGTTCACACCAATATGAACAGGAATGTTGGGCTTCTGAGAATCTTCCCAGGTATCACTACTGCTGCTGTAAGTGTCACCATTTTGGAAGCAGGTGAAGCGATGCTCAAATACTTGATTCATTAGCTGAAGTAGGGAAGCTGCATTGTTGCAGCAGTGGTTGGGGTTTTGGAGGGGAGGGAAAGGATCTGTCTTCTTCTGACAAACATTTTTTTGGAATATCAGTGCATTCAAAGAATATTTTCATATGCCATAAACTATTGATAAAAGCTTTTCAAATATCTTTTGTCTAAACCACCTGGGCTCTGAAGCTTAAAATTAATTTCTTATCAGGGCTCATAAATAGGTCAAGTGTGCTTTTCTAGACAGGTGCAGGCTACAGTGACCATGGAAATACTCTCTTGCTGCATATTGAGGCATATTAATAGGTATCTTTTCAAAGAATACACAGTATGGTGGGTGGAGGGAAGTGTGACTATTTCTGCAACTCATGCTTCTTTTTTAATGTTTGTTTTCTCACACTGATGGTTAACATGACCCTCAGCATTCATACAGAGCTGAAAATGAGAAGTGGGATTTTTTGATTTTTAGAAATTATTTTGCAGAACTGTGGTTTTAGGTAGATTTGTCTTTAAATTTTTGTCTAATACTAGTTCCATTAAATTGACAGGTCGTTTGTGGCTGTTGCCATCTTAAATTGAATCCAGTAGTTTAAGCACTCCTCAATTATACTACCATTCTTTTTAGGTGACTATGAACAGATGGAAAGGCAGAGGGGTGGTATATTTGCAATAAAACTCCAACTGCATAGTTAGCCTCATGGGGGCTTACAGTGTATTGCATTTAGCATATGTGATCAGCAAGGAAACATTAGGTTGTTTAAAATACATATTTCTAGGAGGAGGACTTTGCTAGGCATCCTCTTACAGTGAGCCACAATAGCTACCTCATTAACAACTGGCCCAGAATGAAGTAATGCCTCCTTTTTTTTCTGCCTTGAGTTAAATCAATTGAGTTTTGAGTTAAAAAAACTCCAGGCTTCATTAGAATGTTCTTTCCTGAAAGGTGAGACACTCTCTCTTAGTTAGGCAGACATTTGTTAACAAACATCTTTGCTAAAGTAAAAAATCTGGGCAGTTCCAGTAGGGTTTCAATCTCAATTAATAATTCTGCATTTATTTTGTAAGTGTAAATCTACCCTTTTGTTCCGCCGTGGTGCAACAGTATAGCCTGTTAATGGCACTTGAACAACAGCATCCTTTTCACACTGAGGTCATGACTGTAGAAAATAGTTTCTTTTAAAATCTATCCCTCTAGGAATTTTAAAGGAAGCTAAAGAGTGAAATTCTCATTTTTTCAAAGCTTATTCCACAGTCCCAGTTATTGCAAATGGGGAGCACAGAAGGACATGAGAAGACTGTAAGGCATGAGAGTCTGTAAGACTATAAAAGGAATAGACCATTTTTAAAAACTCTGTGCCATACATGAAAATCTTAGTGACTTAAACGCATCTTTTGTCTGTCTTCCTTGTCTTGTTTTTAAACAGGTGAAAGCATTCCTTCAGCCTCCAATTGAGGGCATTGTGCTTGAAACTTATGGAAGTGGCAATGCCCCAAACAACAGAGAAGAGTTGCTGGAAGAACTGAGGAAAGCAACTCAACGAAAAGTAGTGATTGTAAACTGTACTCAGTGCTTACGAGGGTCTGTTAAAACGATCTATGCAACAGGGCAGGTAAGGGTTGTGCAATGATTTCAGATTCTACTGCTGTGTAAAAGAAACATCGATCGCTGATATAACTTGATTGTATGCTTCTAGTAGTTCCAGCGTATAAAACCAGATTTATGAAACTCTAAGGGTATTGCTCATAAAATAACTATATCTCAAAAATCTTAGGTTGAAAGCATTTAAATATGTATCTGCAAACAGGATTGTGTTACTCCTAGTCTGAATGGTTGAAACAGTCAGCTCAAATCCCAAATTAGTGATTGCTTGCTCTTGTTGCACGCAGCACTCCAGGATACCTTGCATTAGATTGGTAGTATCTCTCCCAAAGGGATTCCACTGAGCTAGTTTAGGGGTCAGATGACCAAATAAATTAGTATTTGATAGGCCAGCAGTTACTTAGTTACAATGTAAAAACATCAAAAAATCCCTCAAATCCAAGCAAATTCCAGTTTTTTATTTGACTGAAATTACAACTGAATTCAGCGAGAGATCAGAGAACAGTATGTGAGGAAATGTCTGTCTTGCAGAATGGAAATCAGTTGTGTTTAACCCAGGAAGGCTAGCTTAACGCAGACTTTTTGTAGATACTGTTAATATTCGGGGCATTTTATAGTGAGTTTTTTCAATTGTGTATTAAAACATTACATCACTGGGACTAATAAGAGCTCAAAGCCATATAAGAGTGTGTGTTGCATGTGGTAGTGTGAAGGAAGCTGGTTTAACTGGCCTTTATAAAAAGGCTAGCCATTAAATAGCCAAGAAGCAGTGCCACAGGGTGACTCATCCCCCTGTTTTAGACACCTGGGTTTGTTGGGAGCAACCACCCGTCTGGCAGAGCCAGCCTCTTCATTGACTGTAAGACAAACCTAGATACTCTAGTCTCGTGCAGAAACCTGCCTCTTTTAACACTGGTTCTGACACAGCTTTAGATTATATTTGCTTCAAGAACACACAGTCTGTTTTGAGGAGGAAGAAAAGGAGCTTGTAAGGGTTTCTTTCCACCTCTTCATTATCCAAACTCAGTATTTTCTGATATGGGCAGTCATTTGGGTGTTGGTAAAACTTTTGCATAACTTAATGGACATGTTTTGAGAAGTATTAACTCTTGCAAAGATCCCATGCTCTGTAGCAAATATGATAGGAATACATGGAAGGAAGATAGCAGTTAAGTCAATAAAAGAGACCAAATGTATATTTGAAAAACAATATGAAAATGAACCCTAGCTTTTATGTGATCTTCTGCTTGAAATGAACTGCTAAAATGGATGGAAGGAAGAAAAAAACTTTTTCTATGCTCTGGTTAAAAGTTTCTCCAAGTAGACTCCTCCAAAATGGCTTTTTGCACTGTGATCCAGACTGTTGGTGTGCTGAATTGAAAGATCCTGCTGAGATCTTACTGAACCACTGTCAGGCTGTGTGGAAATGTGTTCACTTCTGGCTTCCATTTTTTATATGGAGCATGTATCGTGTTGCTGCAGTACCCGTTGATGGAGGCTGCCCTCTGTTCTCAGCATCTTTTGAGGAGGACACTGACAGAGCCAAGTCCTACATCATTACTTCATGCTTGTTCTTTCATTGCCTTTTCCTTTTCATAAGGAACTGCTCAATGGAGAAAGTATCACGGGTGAATGCTGGAAAGTTGCAGTAATGTTAACTTAGGTTTTTCTTTAAATAAAATCTTTGACAGGTCTTTGCATAGGGCTAAGCCATTTCTTACTCATCGAGCTAGTCAGGTGGGTCAGCTGAATCCCTAGTTTCCCTTGAAGTGTTTGTTGTAATTAACTGAATGTCTGGCCTCTGATCCATCTGTACAGTAGAAACTTATAATTGAAGGGACTTTAGGTATAGGAAGGAAGCTGGGAAATCCCTTCCTCCTCCTCTTTCTCAAACCCGCTGAAAAAACCCTAACTCTTCTTTGGCTAGCTTTGCAGTACAGAAAATATTTCTCACCTTCTCTGTATATGTTTTCCCATGGGACTTTAAAAACTATGTTACTCTGAGGCTCTTGGGGGCAGTTAATAAGCTGATTAAGGCTCTGTATCTTGCTAAAAATATTAGTTAAGCCACAACAAGTTTAAAAGCTGAAGTTTATATACAAGGTATTTAAAAGTAAAACGCAGTGTAAAGTACCTACTGCAAGATGCTTAACTGTGAGGCATCACATTGTGGCAAAGATGATGATCTGTGGCTTAGAGAAGCCCGAGTGTTCGCCCAGGTACAATTGAGCGTCAAGAGATCTGAGATGTCCTTTGTCTCGTTCACTGTACACTTTTGGGGCTTGCTGACCGTAACAGAGATCTTTCTGCTTTTTACTTGGGTTCAGATAGTTTCTTTCTTTTAACTACCAGAAAGGTAAGTTAAAAAGGTCATCTTCTTCAGTCGTTCTTATCAGAACTGTGTAAATTACATATTTTAGTTGTATGTTCTAAATCATACACTGCTAGTGCAGCCTGAAAGGATCTGAAAACACTCCTGCTGTGAGCACACTGTAGTGCTGGAATTCATCCAAAGCAATGCCCCATAAAAGAATGGTAAATATGTCTGTGTGAGAACAGCCTACTTGGCAATGTTCAAAATGCCACTGGGTTAAAAAGAGTGACTGCAGCTTTTCAATAAAGGGAATCTGACAACTCTGCAGATAGCTGATATGGACCTGTAACCTTTCCCTTTTAGCATAGTAGTAAGTGACCATGGCAAGCGTTTGGGTGAATTCTTCAATGTTATTACATGAAAAGGAATTTATAGTAAAAGTAATCTTTATTCAGCTGGCTCTAGCATTTGCTTGGTATTTGGTAACGAAAATTACAAAAATTACAGTGGCAGTAGGAGGAGCAAGAGAGTGGAGACACGGCTGCATACTGTATTCTGTGTAGCCATTCATCATTCATATACATTTTCTGTTCATGCTGGTATTTCTGAATGCTGTGCTAATTGGAATCATTATTCCTTTTTATTCAGACTCTCGCTGAGGTTGGAATAATTCCTGGAGGTGACATGACACCAGAGGCAGCCCTAACTAAACTGTCGTACATGCTTAGCAAGAGTAAGCTTAGCTGGGAGGAGAAGAGGCAGGTAAATATTTCAGAGTGACCTTGAAAGGCTTTAACTTTCTCATCTACTGTGCTAACTTCTGCTTATCTGAATGCCTTGAGCTTCTCCCTTGCATTTAAAAGCAATTGGTTCCAGAGCCATAATGTGAACATCACGTGGGTTTTTTTCCTTCAGGAAAATACTGTTAGGCAAATGAATGTATGTAGATTGGGAGAGAAAAGAATTCTCTACATAAGTCAGGTGAAGACCATGACTGAGCCATAAAAATGCCATCTTTAAATGGTAGTAGTCTACCTTGGACATTTCTGTACTAAAAATCTGTATGGAGAAATTAATATGGGAGACAGAATCCCAACCCTACTGAAGTAAGCAAAGATCTTGTCATTGATCTTAGTGTGGTAAATAATTCTGAAAATAAATATTGCCTACAGCCTCTTCCTTTACAGCATTAGACATGATAGTATTACATTTTGTTTCTCTAAGAGGAGATACACTTTATAAATACATAAAAAATAGAGGATTGTTCTAAAAGCCAATTGTAACTGATTTTAGAATCATAACGCCTTTAACAATGTTCTTACTCTTCACTGGTGCTTAATCAAAGCTTTTTTCCTCAAATTATATAGTTACATATCATGTTCCTTTTATACAAGGAACATATAGCTCTGAATTAGATAGGGGAGCAGCAGTCTGCAGGAAATCATGTGTTTCTATGCTTGTACGCAATGAAATCATAATCCTGACACTTTGGGAGATGACATCATGATGAGTCACTCTCTAGATTTAAGCACTGCATGCACATGTGCATCTAATGATGGTGTTTTGTTTTTATTAAAACTGGAACAAATTTGATCATTAATTCATGCTCAATATCTTCCAACCAGTAGCAGCTCTTGAGACAAACGTATTTGGATACCTCTGATCATAAGTGGGGTGGCTGGAAGTACCACTTACTGTGCTTAGAAACAGTGTCAGACTCTGAGCTTTCAGTTGTTTGCTAAAGCCCTGGCTCTGAAAAATGAGAGGAGGAGGAGCTATGTATTTCTTCAGTGAGGATGGCAAGAACATACTCTGCGCAAGAACATGCTTGATGGGCAACATAACACTGTGTGAAGAGGTATTGCATGTGTTTGTGTATATACACTTTAAAAAACCCAGGCTCTTCACTGATGCCCCTTTGGTGCACTCACTGACCCTGGAACATACATATACTAGCCTGGTTTTAATGCAGACTTTAATCTTGCACAGAGGATTATTTGACGTGGGACAGGAGAAACTTTCCCAGCTGGCTTCCTGCCTAGGTATGTGAGTTAAAACTTACTTTGAGATACAGTTTGCTGGGGTGAGATAGCTGACTTACTCAGGTGAGGACTTGGTGATAGGACATTTTAGGTACCACTAGCACAAGGTACTCCTGCATCTTCATGTGCTGCCCTTCGGAATGTGCTGCACAGTTTCTGTGTGGTGGTGCTGGGACCTCCTTTATATGGTTTGAAAAACAAAATAGCTTTTGCGATTTCTTTGAGCTAAGCAGGATCGGTTTCCTCATTTGACTCGTTGTACAGACCCACAAACAATTGTGTTGGCACGACTAAGGGAGCAGCATGCTGCATTGCCTGGGCAGGAATGAGTGGTAGAGACCAGGAGAAGAAGAAAGCCTGGAAATATGTTGTCTGTGGCAATATCTTCAGCTAAACATATCACCAAACAATAGTCTCCCAAGAGACGGAAGCTCTCCTGAAGCTGGCGTGGTTATTTTAGGATTCTCTTTCAACACAAAGCAGCAAGGAATGTGCCCCCAGACACATGCAAATGGCTGCAGAGCTGGTAGGACTGAGTAAGGCACGTAGGGCTTTGCACTGGGTGCATTTAGCACAGGTGCCAATTGCTAAGGTTACCTGTGCAAAGCAATGATCTCAACCTGTCGAACTCCAAAAGTGCGCCAAAGCAGTTGGTATCCTCTGAGTTACATGTACATGGGACTCTTCCAGCAGACAGCTACAGTGTTGTCAGCACTTGGAGTTGTTGTTGTTTTTTTTTTTTAATAAAGGGCATGCCTAGACATAAGTAAACCTGGGGCATTCCTCCTTCCAACATCACATCTGTTTCTTGCAAACTTTCACAATCCTGCTTTTTAAAATTCTAATTGAAATAACTACATGCTTTATAGCTGCATCAGCAACCTTTCATGAAAGAGTGCCAGTATATAAAATTGTCAGAATTGAGGAAATCAGTTGCTTTTTCTTAATGACTGGTTTCTCTCTCTGTCCTCCAGATTTCCCAGAACCTGTCTTTTGGAGTATTTGCTTTTCTTTATTGCCATATTCAGGCACTTTCTACACATGAATTGGCTGACTTCTTTTTTTTTTTTTTTTTTTTTTTTCTTTCCCCCTGGTTGTATTGGATGCACCCGTCCTGCAAACTGTTACATGCCTGCTTTAATACTGAACGACTAGTACTACTGTAGACCCTCTGCATTCAAAGCTGGCTCTATGGCCAAATTTTAACAAAATCAGTGCTAATGGAGCTGTTTGAAAATCCATTGAAATACATGACCATCCACAGGCAGCACTGGGGTTTGTTTTGAGGCCTACGTACACAGTCTGTGTAGGAGTCCTGAGGTTTGGGAATGCTGGCAAAAGGCAACATTTCCGAATATTCTGGTCTTCAGCCTCACTCTCCTAATTACTCACTATCTTTGTATTTTTAAGTAGGCTGCAGCTTACGCCATTAGAGAACTTTTGTCTGCATACTCTAAAAATCGGGGTGTTTTGGTTTGTGCTTATTTTGGTTTCTTTGCTTTGGAAGAAAGTTTTATTTGCCTG